AATACTTATGTCTTGGCAGAGCTCAAATAGTTTCTGGTTAGTAATTTAGAAATGTTTTCCACATGAAATTTTAATGCAATATATAAATATTTAAGTATTAAAAATTAATATAAAATGTAAATACATGCTTTTAAGAGCATACATTTTTTATCTACACCAGGGTGTTGAGGTTATTTTGTCTACATGTACAAAATACAAGCGGGGAAAAAAAATGACGATGTCTAAGAAATTAAATAAATTATGCAGTTAAGATATGTCAGATTAAATGATACGTGTGTGCTGCATACAGCTGTTCATGCAGGGCACTGAAATAACTGAATAGGGAGGCAAGAACCGTAAACAGTTGGTTTCTTTTCAGCCGGAGTCAAAATTTTCTGGAATTACTTCTGGATTTGGTTTTCATTTTCTTCTTTTTCTTTTTGTTGGAAGTGAAATTAAATAAGAATCTAGCCTGTTGGTAAAGGGATGATCAGCTGGCAGAAGTAAATTTCCACAGCTAGTCATGTGGTTCGAGAAGTATCCTGGAATAGGATAAAAAGCTGTAGGATGAACAGGTAGGATTATACAGGGCTTCTTTATCAATACATCCGAAGTGCAGTGAGTTTCCTGCGTTTTTGTTTTGTTTTTTCCAGAATTTCTCCCTAACCATGCATGTTAAATGTGCTGTTCTTTGGTGTATCGCTTTTTGAGTCATTTCTTCTGACTTTGAAAGATTTTTTTTGTTTCTTCTTCTTCTTCTTTTTGTTTTTTTAATTTCAGTATAATTGCCACACAATGCTACATTAGTTTCAGGTGTACAACTTACTCATTTGACCATGTTTTTTCTTGACCATGGAGTTTTTTCTTTTAATTTTTAATCTTTTTAATTGTAATGGACCTAAATGTTAAAACGTAATATAAAAATTTGATGCCAAGAACTACCCTCCCCCCCCCCCCGCCCCCACCGCTCCCTTGTCTCTGGAGAGCAGCATGATAAGCAATGTGTCTTTCCCTGCCTGAAAACATTCTGAGTGTAAGTTTTCTTGAATTACAGCAACGTTGGTCTTCCTCCGAGGCACATATATTCCTTTTTTGGGGTTTGCAGTCAGCATAGTCACACCCCTGCCTTTCTCTGTGGTTGAACTTCAAAATGAATTCCTGTATGCCATCCTGTTTCAGACAAGAGAAAGGCTAATGGAGCAACCTGAGTTTATGAGACACACACATCATAGTATAGGGCCAGGTCCCAGGCATTAGTGATATCAAAAGTTAGGGCAAGTGTTTGAGCCGTTCAGAGTATGTTTTTTTATGTTTCTATAGATGATGAAATTTGGTATTCTAGATAAAATACCAACGGGTATTTTACTTACCAAGTATATAGCATGTGGTTTTAATTGTAATTGTTGAATAATTATTATTGTCGGAAATTCTGAGCAGCCTCTCTGTCTCTCTCTCTCTCTCTGAAAAAAAAGGTACAGGTTTCTCCCTCTCTCAAAAAAAAAAAAAAAAAAAAAAGAAGGTACAGGTTGTCAGTTAAAGCCACTTTTTGATTCTCAGGACCAATTTTTCTGTGGTAAGTAAACCATAAGAAATATAAACTGTCCTGGCAAAACTGTACATTTAATTTTTGCTGTCATCTTGCTGTCTCTTTTGGCATGGTACTCTTCTCCATTCCTTCCTTCCCTCTCCCTACCCCCAGTGGTGGCAATAAGCCACTGTGTGAGTGCCAGGAGTGCTTCAATCTGGTTCCCCAACCCGCCGTCCTCAGGTCAGGTCCCCTCTCTTCCCGCATTATCTGACGTTCCTTCTGGCTTGTGACTTACTGTCAAGATTGAGCTAAGACTACATTCTAAATTCCAGATGCAACATGATTAAATAGTAGAAGTTTGATATATTTAATGCTCCCCCCAAAATTAGACACCAAAAAGAGACCTGCTTACACTGTGAAAATCCCTGATGGGATCCTAAGTAGTGAAATAGCTGCACTGTGACAGTCTCTGTGATCTTTAGAGGCCAGTGGTCCTTATTAGTGTTTTTCAAATGTAGACCTTTTAGCAAACCATCTACATACATATATTTAAGACTCTCATGATTATCTGAAAGGAAAGATTGGGAGGAGTTGGAGGTAATATGCTTTATTCTATTTTTCTAAAAGGAGGTAATAATATTATTGACTAAGGGATGTATTTTGCATGAGAATATGAGAAATAAAGCATCTATTCTCATTTACCTATTTTCTCCAAATTATCTTCCTTTTCTCTTCTGTTTCTTCGAAAGATCTTAATAAACTATTTGATTTATGAAAATTATTCTCATATTCCAAAGCAAATGACACTAAATACTATGCATTTTTAAAGTAAATTAGTGTTCTTTAATTATATATTTTGAAGATTTTAATAAAGCTAAATGGGGAAAATTGTCTTCATGGGAGAAACATTATTTCATGTTGAATAGAGTATTGAATGGATTTTCTGATAGCAGCTTTTTTGTAGAGTCGATATAAAATTTACATTTGTAAGAGCAGGGTGAAGCTAAAACTGAATTCAAATATACGTAAGTTTTATTCTTTACTAGAAATCAAATTTGTTAAAAGAGAATCATCCTAAATGGTCCGATGGCCCAAACATCTACTATATTTTTCTTGAGTATGACAGTGGATTCCTAAAGGAAACTTTCAAATGTTTGTATACGGTAATATTATCCAGCAAGCATACAACATTTCTCAAATTCCCAAGAAGTATAAACTACCGTTTTTCCTAAAATGGTAAGTTTTATTTTTATTTTTATTTAAAAAAAAATTTTTTTTTTCAACGTTTATTTATTTTTGGGACAGAGAGAGACAGAGCATGAACGGGGGAGGGGCAGAGAGAGAGGGAGACACAGAATCGGAAACAGGCTCCAGGCTCTGAGCCATCAGCCCAGAGCCTGACGCGGGGCTCGAACTCACAGACCGCGAGATCGTGACCTGGCTGAAGTCGGACGCTTAACCGACTGCGCCACCCAGGCGCCCCAAGTTTTTAAAAATATACACACATTTTAGAGATTTTTCTGCATGCCCCCAAAGAGCATAAGCTCTTTATGGTTATCCAGTTTGGCTTTTGTAAGTAAACATTTTATTGTTTATAATTCCGCCGGGTAAAAATGAATCAACAAATTTCCATCCCATATATTTTAATGAAAATTCTCCCCACATCTTTAAATACACCTGAAGGCCTTTTCCCCCTCATTTAAATTACTTAAGATCTTGTTAGTGGTTTGAGATAGGAGAATGTATTTGGTATTTAGAATCACATAACTTTTAGCTTTTTTTAACTGGAAGGGATCCTAGGAGATCATTTCTAGAATAACTTCTTCAGTCTACAGAGAAAAAAAAAATTGAATCTCAAAGAAGCTACATAATGCATCTGAGATATATGGCAGATATACTAATTCCCAGTTCAGGGCACAGATTGGTTCAATAAACATTTATTACTTACTGGGTACTTTCAAACAATTGAGAAATAATGTCAAACTTCTGGGAGCTTATAATCAAGTAGGGTGTGCAGACATGTTCATAGCTAATATCAATAGAATTTGGTAATTATTAAATACGGTAATAACGACAAGTACAGGAGAAACATATAAAAGAGAAAGAATTGACTCACTGGACAAGCGCTTTTATTTTTCTTCAGTGAACATTTATCGGGAACTTACTCAATGTCAAGTGATAAGTACTAGTGAACTAAAATAGACACAGTCCCTGATGTCAGTATTCTTAGTCTTTGGTGGGAGTGGGTGGGTGGGGTGGGCAGAGAAGTCAGTGAATTAATCACATAAAAGGTACAGTAAAAACTAAAATAGTGCCTTGACTGAAGTTCTAGGAGGGCACATAACAAAAGAACCTGACTGGACTTGGGGTTTGGGAAAGGTTTCCCTTCCATCTGGTCACTGGGACAACCCACAAGTCGAAGGGAACAGACTCACTGATTTTAGCAGTAAGGTTTTAAAGAAAAAAATTATGAAAAAAAAATTAGAAATAACAAATCCTTTTCTAGCCAGTGTAGTTTGTGCAGAAAAGGCATACACTAAGGGCATTTACAACTTCACAGGCTTGGGGGAGTCATAGACAGAAATGAAGCCCCTGGTTGTACCACTGGGTGACTTCAGTGGCTGTTTTCTCCATGGCCAAGTACAGATGCCACAGAGAATCTTGGCAACACAGGGCATGGATGCCAGCATGAAGACTTCTTTTGCTCTGTCTCTGGACCCAGGATGTTTCATTCGTTTGGTTAACATTTTTTTGTGTGTGGACCCAGGATGTTTCATTCATTTGGTTAACAATTTTGTGTGTGTGTGTGTGTGTTAAAATTTGGAAAAGTAGACAATTTCAATCTCAACAAGTAAAGACCGTATTCCTCTACCCTAGCTTTCCCTCCTCTGTATCAGGTAGTTTTGAAGTGATTCCAAGAATTTATGAGACTCATCTAAGAGAAAATGGAATCAGGGTATTTAACTTGCATTGAATGGCACATGTTTGTATAGTTTTCAGCCACTGTTGGGTAAAGTTAAACTATCAACCATCTGATATAGGAATGGCTTCCCCAAATACTTCTCTTGCTCACTGTGCTGATTCACCTGGCATTATAACACGAAGGTATAGGGCCAGAAGTCATATCATTATATGAATGTGGCTTTTGGTGGCCACCACCACATATTTGTGGGTATTGGAGGAGAAACAAGATGTGAAAGGTACAGAGTCTTGAAGCTAGTCTGTGGAAAATCCTTCCAATGATCAGATCTATAATACTGCAAACAGACAACCGGGTTATCATTGATGTCATACCAAAAGGAAAGCCATCCCTTGCTGGGTATAACCTGATAATGTTGCAAATGTACTTATCGATGCACCAAATTAAACTAAATGAGGAAAACAGGGAAGGTGAATTCTGAGAGCTGTAGACAGCATAGGTAAAGTGATATCAAGAAGGCTTTATCACATTCTATGTTAGCGTTCAATTGGAGATACGAGTGTCACACAGAAATGGAAACAAAGGAAGTTTAATATAAAGAAGTATTAACTATAACAGTATTAACTATAACCTACTAAGGAGTAAAGAAAACATAGGGAAAGGAAGAGTAATAGCAGACGTGGGGAGCAGCCCCCCATCTAGGGCTGAGGTGGAGCGTCCAAGGAAGAAACACATTTGGAAGACCCTACCCTCCTCTCCCCTGCCCATGAGATTCAGACTTCACTGGAGACTCCGCAGCCATGACCCACTGGATGGTGGAGACCTTGCAGTAGTGCTGTGAAGACTCTGTCCTCTGGTGTAGGGAAGCCATCCCTGAGAAGACGCCATGCTGAAGAATTCGTTGAGAAGCCATCTGCCGGGATATTGCCCTCTAGGGTGCCAGCATAAGCTGCCCATAGGGTGTCCTGTGCCGCATCTTGCTGTAGGAGCCAAAAGAGAAGAACATAACCAGGTACCAGAAGAAAAGCCCTTTATTCCTTCATTGTCCTTCCATTGTCCTTCCATTGTCTTTCATTGTCCCTCCATTGACCAAGCTTAACATCAAGCCAACTGGCAAGGGAAAACTCTTCTAGTATCACAAACAGGCGATGAAGGGTGGGTTTGGAACTGAGAAGCAATAAGCTGATGACAGAACACACCCCTAAACAATGATCATTGCCAGTAGGCAACAAATCAGGTAGATACTGCAAACTGAAAAATAAGGGGGAAACTGAAAAAATAAGGGGAAACTGAAAAATAAGGAAAATCGCTCCTCTTGTATGTCTCTTCTACTCTCCATACTCTACTATAACACTGCATTGCTTCTCACACTTTTGGTCATCAAATGTATGCTTTTATCCCCCCATACCCAGCAATTCTGTGACACTTGTTAGGTGTCCTACAACTTAACTCAATTTTGACACTGTTGGCTTGGAGATACCATGAGATCCCACAAGTTAAGGGCTCAGTCCCACAAGACTGCCTCCCTCCAACTTCAAATGCCAACCCCATGTCCTGATTGTCACCTGCGCTTCTGACCACCTGGCTATGAATTGGAAATCCCCACAACTTCTTCTTGGGTTTGATTAATTTGCTAGGACAGTTCACAGAACTCAGAGCAGCAGTTTACTTACTGGATTCCTAGTTTGTTATGAAAAGATTTAACCCAGGAACAACTAGATGGAAGAGATGCAGAGGGCAAGATATGTGGGGAAGGCACAGAACTTCCGTGTCCTCCACAGGTGTGCTCCTCCCCCAGCACCTCCACGTGTACACCAGCCTCAAAGCTCTCCAAAAGCTGTCCTTTGGGATTTAAAAACAATTTTTTTAATGTTTATTTATTTCTGAGACAGAGAGACAGAGCATGAGTGGGGGAGGGGCAGAGAGAGAGGGAGACACAGAATCCAAAGCAGGCTCCAGGCTCTGAGCTGTCAGCACAGAGCCTGACGTGGGGCTCGAACTCACAAACCGTGAGATCATGACCTGAGCTGAAGTCAGTCGCTCAACCGACTGAGCCCCCCAGGCCCTGTCCTTTGGGATTTTTTTGGCAGCTTCATTACATAGACATAATTGATTAAATTATTGGCCTTTGGTGACTGATTCAACCTCCAGTCCCTCTCCCCTCCCTGGAGGAGGTGGGGTGTGGAAAGTTCCAACCGTTTAATCACAGGATTGGTCCTCTTCACAACCCAGGTCTTCGTCCTGTGGGCTTCCCAAAACTTGTTTCATTAACATAAACTCAGCTATGCTTGAAAGGGGCTTATTATGAATAATAAAACAAATTCATTTTACTCAGGAGCTATTTCACTCAGGAGCTATTTCAGAATTAGGGAAGAAAATTAAATATTATAACAAAAGTTCCTTTGGCCCTTATATAGGTAACGGCAAGGGTTCTAGGAGTTATGAGCCAGGAACCATGAACAAAGACCTAATATCTGTTTCTTACTATAAGTCACAATATAATAAGCGTATGTTGGGAGGAAAGTGCCCTAAGGGTCAGGGTGGGATTGGGAGATTGGGAAATGGAGTAGCAGGTGGCCAGTGAAGAACCCTGTTATTGTTGCATGTAAGGAACACCAGCTTTCTGTTGTGAGAATTGACAAAACTAGGCAGAGATGAGAGAAGAGTTTTACTAGAAACTTCAGTGGATTGAGATCTGGCCACACAACCTGCCTTGTTGCTATCAATCTGTTCACTGTAGGTATCAGTACACAGAGAGCAGAGCTGTTGACCTGAAGAAGAAAACAGCCAATCATTTTACCGGCGAAATGGCTTTATTTGGGAATAGAAGAGGAATTGCAATTTGTGACAAGTAAGCTATAGCAAAAGCTGTAGGCAGATCCAGAGAACAAAGGAGAGGATTGCTCTTATATAGAGGAAGGGGGGAGTTGGGAAGGGGTGTTATAAACAAAAGTCCACTGGAGTAAACTGGAAGTTTGAAGTGTAGTGGTTTTTCGTTGGCTGAGTTCCGACAGTCTGTCAGTGGCTTGGCTCCTTGCAAGGCAAGGAGAAAAGCTGCCTTCCTCCTGCTGGGTAATCAAGTAGGCTTCTTCCTGGTGGGAATGAAGGGTATGCCTTTTCTTGTTGAGGCTGCAAAGGGCTGTGAGTGGTATCATGTAAGAGTTCCCCCTTCTGGCTTCCCAATTCCATTTTATTTTTATTTTTATTTTCAAAAAATTTTTAAATGCTTATTTATTTTTGAGAGAGAGAGAGAGAGAGAGAGAGAGAGAGAGAGAGAGACAGACAGAGTGCAATCAGGGGAGGGCAGAGAGAGAGAGGGAGACCCAGAATCTGAAGCAGGCTCAGAGCCTGATGTGGGGCTCGAACTCATGAGCTGTGAGATCATGACCTGAACTGAAGTCAGATGCTTAGACTGCACCACTCAGGAGCCCCTTCCCAACTCCATTTTAAATGAGGTTTCCTTTATTTAGTTTCATAGAACTGAACTGAATTCATTGATTACTGTTAGGTGAACAACTCCAAGTAGAACAGAGCTTGTCTTGCTCATAGATAAGTAAGGAGAGTAAAACAACATGCATTTTATAATGTGTTACAAAACAAGAGAAAATTATGTATAAAGGGATAAAAATCGACGTGGCCTCAAATATGTTTCATGAAACAATGAATATGAAGAGACAGTAGTGTTACAACCAATATGATAAGATAAAAATGCAAACAAGTTTAAGAATGAAAATAAGGAGATAACGTTGTTTTCTCAGATGATCTGATGGCTAAAATATAGAATAGAATATACAGAAACTTAGAACAATTAAGAGGTTAGCAAGGATGCCAATCATAAGATCAAAAGATAAAATTTGATCATATTTCTACATTTCAGAGATAGTAAATTAGAAAATGTAATTTAAAAGGAAAAAATATAACTTTTGTAACATAAAAAACTATTATTTACTTAGATTATCTACCAAAAAGGATATATATGTAATTTCTGAAGAGAATTATAATACTGTACTTTGTTGAAGAAAGTAAAAGGAAATTTGTACAAATAGAGGGATATACCATGTATACCGATGACAAAGTTTGCTGTAAATACTTGTTATTCGTTAAAAAAGAAAGTTAGCCTAGAATGGTCTAGAATGGCGTCTAGACACAAAAAAACTATGATCATACATATAAGGCAGAGTCTAATGAGACTTTTAGTGTTTCACTCTTAAATGTGTAAGAAAAGCTAAGGATTACCATGTATATAGGAAAGTTTCCAATATATAAGAAAGATATCAAAACATACAGAAACAACAGGGAGGAGTTAAGATAGCAAAGTAGTCAGTGAACCCTGGTCCCTCGAACACAGCTAGATCAACATCAAATCATTTAGAACACCTAGGAAATCAATTTGAGGATTAAGAGAACAATCTGCCTAATCAGAGGGAGAGAATGTGGCAGGTAGGAGGGGTGGAGACATGAATTGTGGGAGAGAAAAGCCATGGTGCTGTGGAGGGGAGGGAGCCCTTTTTGTGGAGAGAAGACAGAGAAAGAGAGAGGGGGAGAGAGAGCAGAGTGTCAGTTTCACACAAGAAGAACACTCCCCCAAAACCATTGACTGGGGAATGGAGAGGAATGGATTATTGCAAGTTTTTGCATACAGTGGAGCTCAAATTCTGAGGTTTTAGAGGCCTGCGCCATTTGCTGACAGTGTGGTGTGGGGATCCCCTGGGTCGCACTGGGAGAGAACTTTCCTCTCTCTGGAGTAGGTTTGGAAGAGGGTATATTGCCTCTTCAAGGACAAAAGACCTGGCAGGAGCCACTGAGTGGCCGTCAACAGCAGGGGACAGAGGCATGCGCAGAGGGCAGATAACCTTGTGGCAGCCTTTCACTGAGCTTCACCACAAACCCTAGGCACCTGTGTGGCCCTGCAACTGCTTTTCTGGACAGAATGGCACCAGGCAAAGTGCTGTGAGTCTGTCCTCCAGAGGTGGGGAGCAGGTCGGTGCTTTGCCTGGTCCTGGAAGATCTGGAGTTTTGAATCCGCCTGGGACACAGGAGGGGAGCTTGTTTGCTTTTCTGTGAGGACTTGCTGAACAGCTACTGGTGCAAACTACCCTCCCCGGGGGTGTTGCCATCTTCCCCCATCCCTACCCCACCATCGCACCTACCAGCATGGTCTGACTTCACAGAGCAACACAATTCCCCCCCAGGGAGGCAGGAGCCGCTTACCAAACCCTGCCCCCCTGTGCTCTGCAGGGGCACCTTTACTAGGGCAGGTCTGACTGTGAGCCAGCAGAGGAGGCCTCTCTCCCAGGGACCAGCACAGGCCCCCCAACATGCACCCAACGCTACTGATCATGCACTGCTTCAGAGGGCTTCAGTTCCAGTAGAAATAGGACCAGACTTTCTTTTTTTTTTGCCTTTGGAATCGGGCTTACAGTTCTTTGTTTGTTTCCTTTTCTTGGTTTTTTTGGATCAGGCTTCCTTTTCTTTCTTTCTCTCCCCTCCCCCCCTTTCTTTTTCTTTGGAATCGGGCTTATAGTTCTTTTCTTTCTTTGTTGGTTTCCTTTTCTTGGTTTTTGGATCAGGCTTCCTTTTCTGTTTTTTTTTTTCCCTTTCTTTTTCTTTGGAATCAGGCTTATAGCTTTTTGTTTGTCTGTTTCTTTGTTCCTTTTCCTTTTTCTCTTTTGGATCAGCCTCCCCCCCCCCCCCCGGTTTTTAAAAAATAAAACTTATTTTAACAAACAAATCAAAGCATACCTAGTTAAAGGTCTAAACACTCCCTACTCCAAGTAAGGAGGAACTCTGCAGAGGACTGACCAGTAGGGAAGAGCAGCCCAGACACAACAGCCAGTGCACACAGCACATACCAGAAACACTTCCTGAAGCACCAGGTCTTGGACAGTATATGACCCATTCTAATATAGCATTACTCTCAGGAGCAAGAAGCATAAGAAGCTTTCATAACATGCAAAAGAGAGAAACCTAGACAAAATGA